ATATTTTCCAAAATATGTTTAAATCAAGATATTGTACATTCTTTTTATCTTTTACTATAAGTATTTACTTAGTGATTATCCTAAAATTATTCTTAAAAAAAGGCACAAGGAATATGAAAGACAAAAAGAATAGTTTAAATGGGTAAGACTCTAGTACCAATATTAACTAATAAATTAAAATTTACAGCTAATAAAAAAGAAAAAGTAAAGAAGAAATGAATTTGATAGTAGTAATATGTAACAATAATAATAGATTTTACATAGGAGAAATGGGTCAACAACTGAAAACCAGAGTAAAGGAACATGTGACAGCATTAAAATTATAACATCAATAGTCACCATGGTTACGTCAACAAGAACATAACTGTGAAATATAATAAAAATTTAATATTATCCTTTTCAAAGAAAGAGATGATAAAAAAAACAAAAATAAGTTCTTTATAGTAAAATGTTTAATAATAATGTAAAATTTGGTTAATGTAAAAGTTTATCTTTGGAATGGTATTTGATTGTAGATGGAAGTGTTTGTGAAAGAGAAAGTAAGAAACTTTGAATGTGTAAAACTTTAGGCTGATAATTGTAAGTTTACTGTACATTGTTGGATTTTAATCTTAACTTACAAAAATAAAAACAATATTACTGTATTTTTTTTTAGAAAAATTGTTCTATTAAATGTGTTATGTGCATTTCAATCTCTTCAGTATAATAAGAGTAATAAAGACAATACTATAAATAATGATGTTTTTATATATTTTTTAAAACTTTACTGTTGATCTAAATAAGCTTAGCCTCAGGTAAAGAGTCAAAAAGCAAAAAAAAATAGATGATAATTGTTTTATCTTAAAAGTTATATGTAGTATTTATTTATATAAAGTGACTTGTATGTGACTAAATTTAGATTCCTTAATTAATTACTACATAATTAATTAATTGTGGTTATGATAAACGGAACAAAGATTATGGTTTAAACTATAAAAAGGTTTTATAATTAAACTTACTTATGAAGACAGGCTCTGATTTGCAAAAGGGATAAGTTTCATCAAAATATAAAACTAAAAATAAAAATATTTACTGCAAGTTTTATTACTTTTCAAACAATTACGTCAAGTTGGAGCCTTTATCAATCCAGTTTGATGGCAGTCGACCATCTACTAAGAGAAATATATGAGAGAGAAATGCATTTTTAGAATTTTGTTTTTGCAAACCACGGATGCCCATATAGGGTTGAAATATTATCTTAAGACTTCATAAGAATATTGCACTCATTTTAAAAAGAGCATTTCAATATTTCTGTTTGGTTCAAAATAAAAGTTTATTATTAGATTTTGGTTAATTTTTTGTTTCTATTCTGAATATCTGATGAAAAGCTCATTTTCAATATTACAGTTTGAAATATCAAAAAATACTGGTATAAATAACATGGTACAAATTGATAATTTGTCCGATTAAATTTACGTGAAAATATTTTTTACTGGTTTCGATCAATGACAATAAATTTAAAGTATAAAATTCTATTTTACAAAAAAAAAAAAAAAAAAAAATAATATATGTAACTTCATAAATAAATCTATCAAACTATTGTTTAATAGAGATAAATTATGGTAGATTCCCATTTTTTGTGGCCATGAAAGTAAATTTTTAATCGTTATATATTTTTCTATTGGTCATTTCTTATTTTTTTACTTAAACATAGCATTTCATGCAATTCTATAAAATTGAAACCAGTCATAATTTTGAGATTGTGAAATAAGTGGAAGTGTGAGAATCTACCATATAACGGAAAACTTTTTCCCAAAAGTTTTAATTGTAATATAAAAATATTTTGATTATACGAGAACATTCATTTTTTCCCGTGAAAAAATATGAAAATAAATTGGACAATTTTTCAAATTTATCATATGTTAAAATATAAAGTGATAGTAAAACTTTACAGTAGTGTCTCTGTAATCTGACATATATCAGATTACTGGATTTTGTATGTTTATACATACCGTGCAGTAAAAAAATGCACTTAGTTCATTGGATAGTTTATTGTATTAATCATGATTGTGACTGTTTTGCCAACTGGAGGTGCAATAAACAACTAGCAGCTGGCAGTATATGCATACATCAGTCTCTTTCTGTCACACACATCTACAAGGAGTGACACAAAAATGTCATGTGCACCGCCCTGCAGAGTGTTGGACCAGAGAGAGACTACTGTATTTTGAATGTAGTCTTTTTTTTTTTTTTTTTTTTCTGTTCTTTATATGCAATGTTGCTAATCCAAATGATCATATACAGTAATTAGTTTAGATTAGAAAGATTGCATCATATTTTAGCACCTTTAAACACTAACAATTTTGTTTTTATATATTGTGTGTGTAATTTTGCCAATACACAATTTTTTTTTTCTAAATATCACTTTTGGTAGCTGTTATTATGATCTATGTATGTATGTATGTCTCTTTAATCTGAAATGGGGCCAAAACTTGCTGAATTAGTTATGAAAAATATTTATGAAAAAATACAAAATATCCCTGGTGTTAAAATGGTGATGAGATATGTAGATGACTACTTATTAATCTATAATAATAAAATAACGAATGATACAATAATATTAAATACTATAAATAATATAAATGAAGATATAAAATTTGATATTGAATTAGAAAAATGCAACCAAATAAATTTTTTAGATATAACAATAATTAATGAAATAGACAAATTTTCTTTTAAAACATTTAAAAAAACCATGTAACGTCAATAAAACCATCAATTATCAATCCTGCATCCCTGAAACTATAAAAAAGAACACCTACATAATGGGTCTAAAAAATATATATACAAGAACTACTAATAATATAAATCGTAAAATTGAATTAAAAGAATTAGAGAATACGTTTATTTTGAATAATTACCCCAGTTACAAATTAAAAATGTGGCACAACCAGTATTATAAAAACAGATTTAATATCAAATATAAAAAAGATATGAATTATAAAGCTTTTCCTTATATCAATGATGTTTATAATAATTGTAGTAAGATTTTAAAAAAAGAAAATATTGTTTTGGCCCCCATCTTCGACCAATAAAATTTCACGTAATATTTACAATAATAATAATAAATATAAAATGAAAGTTGATAATTTAAAAAAAATCAGGAGTTGTATATAAAATTAATTGTAATTGCCAAAAACCAAAAAATTAGATAGGTGAAACTAGTAGAACGTTAGAATTAAGAATTAAAAGAACACGAAGCAGCAATTAGATTAAAATACAATAATTCTCTGTGGTTCAACCATATAAATAGTAATTGTCAAAGAGATAGAAATAACATAAAAATAATTCATTCAGAAAAAGATATGTATAAATGTAAATTTAAAGAACATATTGAGATTATAAAATGTAAAGATGATAATTTAATAAATATTTCAAATGATATGCAAATAGATCAAATGTGGTATAATATAATAGATGGCGCTAATAGATAAAATTGATTGTAATATATTGTGACATAAAATAATAAGTGAAATATATTGTAAAAGTGTATATGTATTCTCTTGAAAATGTTTTAATATTAATATACTTTGTATTATTAATCTGTAAAAAGATTATAATTGCTGCGACATTATATTGTAGAACANAATGTAAATTTAAAGAACATATTGAGATTATAAAATTTAATGATGATAATTTAATCAATATATCGAATGGTATGCAAATAGATCAACAGTGGTACAATATAATAGGTGGAGCTAATGGAAAAAAGTGATTGTAATATATTTATCATACAGTGTTGTGTCAGAAAATAATTGGAAATATATTGTGAAATTGTGTATGTATCCTCTTGAAAATGTTTGTAAAAATGTTTTTAATATTACTATGCTACATATAATTAACCTGTAAAATGATTATAATTACAGTTACTGCAACGTTATATTGTAGAATATATATAAGTACAACTTTTAAAGAATATGTAAGATTTTATGAGCACATGTTAAAAGTGAGTATTTTTATTAGAATATGTGATGTTATAAAGTAAAAAATTATAAAATTATTAATATATTAGGTTTTCCGTATTAATGTTTGGCAAATGTATTTGTGGTGTTTTTAATGGTGTTTTTCTGTATTAATTTTCTGTTTAATTTGTGGTGTTTTTCTGTGTTAAAAAATCTTTCCAATGTTACCTGTTATACACCATAGTTTTAGAATACAGAACCATAGGTATCGTATAAGTGTGACAATTTTTAAGTATGATAGTTTTATGTCAGTAAATATGACCTACACGTGAGGAATTTTGTCGTGTTACTAATTGTGGTTTTTTAATAATTTGTAGTATTGCACTAAAGAGGGACTTAGCATTTATATAAGTTCGAAATGCATATGTGGAAACAATAAAAGAAGTGTCTAACCTTAAAGCTGTAATGATAGTCTACCGAACTTAATTTCGGATTAAAGAGACATACATACATAGAACACAAAATTTTGTTCCAAAATATTCAAATATACAAATAAAATTATTGATAGTATAGTAGTTAAATTTAAGATAACAAACACTATAAATTACTGGCATTTTTAGCAAGTGCTAATCTTAAAATAAAAAATGATATTAATATTTATCAACTTATTGGAAGTTATTTAAAATGGATGAAAATTTTAATAATATAATAATTTTTGTTATAACTGGAAAAATCTATTTAATGATATTCTTAATTCATTTTTTAGGTCGCAAGTTTTTATAATTTCTTTATTAATGTATTTGCGTAATATAAATATTTTGTATATTATTATTAAACTTATTTTTGGAACATTGTATAATGTGGGAAAAGAAGTAATCATTAAGCAGTTTTGCAAGTTTTTTACGATATATTAATTGGAAAATCATTAACTTATAGGAAATTAATGTACAACAAGCAATTATTTATTGTGATGTCATCACAATGCCGGGCTGCAATTTTTAATCGTCTTTTAATTTAAAAAAAAAATCACTTGGCTTCCAGTCTGGACTGGAAGTTTACATATAGTTAATTGGGGGGTCTGGCTCCTAAGCTTTCCATGTCTGGTCTTGAGATTAACAAAGGACAGATAGTCAGACAGATGGATGACAGTGAGAATGTATTGATAAAGTCTGCAGTTTCAAAATTGCAGCCCAACAATTCAAAAATAATCCTTAATTTTGTGTTTTTGGCAATTAGAAAGTGACATAATATTATCTCATTTATTAATTAATTAATAATAGCCTATATAAACAGTAGATTCAAATTTTGACTTATGAATCTTCAACTTTTTGAATTAGTTTGTTAAAACTGATAACAATATTATTATTCATTAAGGCTTTTTATATATAAGAATTTGCATCAGATATATCTAATTTACATGGCAATGATATAAGGCGATAAAAATAATTATGTTGACAGAAAAATATGTGAGTATACTCTTACCGAGTCAATTGTTTGATAGATTGTCAATACCGATTCACTAGATTTAATATTTTTAATTACAAGGAATTTTTGAAAGTATAAAACCAAAGCTATGTACTTTATGTATATGATTTCAATATATTAATATTTAAAAATTACTTTTTGATCCCTTTTTTAATTTATTCGGTCATGTTCTGTGTTTCCATTTGCGTTCTTGCAAATGCCAAAAAGATCTGCTCTAATGTTGTATCACTAATAAGATAATCTTCGACTGGTAACGTTTGTTTTGCTTCTTCCATCTTAAAAAACATTTTGCTCCATTTGACGGATGTATCAGTTATGTGATAATGCAAAATTTCCTGAAAACATTAATGAGTTTGATGTGAATGATTTCCAATTAAATTTAAAAAAATGAAAAAACAATAATGTTTACCTGATGGGAATCTTTCAGTGAAGAACTGGGAAAAGTATTCTCAACAAAGCTCTTCACTTCCTGAATTTCATTACCTTCTGCCCTTTTGACTTTGATGATGAGGGTATATCCCTGACCGAATTTAGTTTTGAGATGTTGCATGTCACCCAAACAATGAAACTGCCCATTTACCATAATAACTATTCTCTTGCATAAGGCTTCACACTCGTCCATTCTAAAAATATTAGAAAATTTTTATAAATGATAGTTTGATTTCCTTAATTTTTATGCATGTCTTTATTTATTTACCCATGTGAAGTTAATACGAATGACACTCCCAATAACTGTCTCATTGTAATCAGAGTTTCCCACATCTTCCTCCGAGATACGGGATCGACTCCGGCCGTTGGTTCATCCAGAAGAACTAACGACGGCGATCCGATGAGAGCTAATCCAAGTGACAATTTACGTTTTGTTCCTCCGCTACATTAAATAATGTAATTATTAATAATGTAAAATGTAACATTTTGTTAATTGTTTTGTTTATACCAGAAGCAAATTTTATGATAGAAATTTCCAAAATGCTTTTCAGAAATGTTACCTGTAAGTTTCAGTTTTTTTATCAGCATGTTTAACGAGATCGCACATTTCGATCAATCTGTTGACGACATAATTGATATCTAACTTGGGAATACCTCTCAAATTGGCAAATATTGTCAGCATTTCTCTACCTGTCACTCCGTCGATTAAGGCGTCAAACTGGGGACAATAACCAATGGCTCTTTGGAACTGAAATATAGAATTGAATTTTCCTTAAAATTTAATATTTTATTCAATAAAGATTAATTATTAAACACTACAAAAACCATGCAACACATGGAGTCATTTTTATAATGTATGGTCCAACTTTATAAAATTTGAGTTCATATTCATCTCTTAGTATTTAATTTAAAAAAAATAGTTTAAATCATTATTTTGTCAAGCTAGATGCTGCAATAAATTTTTTATTACTCTTATACAATGTATTTTGTAATTAGTCATTTAAAAATTGAATGAATTCAAAATAATTCATTAAAAACACTAAATTTCTATCCTGTCCACTGATGTACCCAGAAAGTTTTTGATGGAGTTTTGCTTAATTAAGTCACATCTGGATGCTAAAAGTGTATTATGAAAACCTGATGAGGGGGGATCAGCAAGTAACCCAACTCTAAATAAAATGTATGCATCGTGGATGAGGGGGGTTAGAAGTTGACCCGAAGCTGAAATATTTTTTTATTAATATATTTGTTTCTATAACTTTGGAGTTTTTAAAATAACTCAACTTTTAGAAGTTAATTTTATAATAATTTTCAACAATAAAAATTGTTTTAAGTTAATTGCACTCAGTACAAGTTCTAACAATACAGCATACCTCTTTTGATGTTTGTCTAGGGCAAATGTATTTCATGCACTTTGTACAAGATTTCATATATTTTCCATCTTCTGATCTTGGACATAGAAAGCATCTCCCTTTTTAGGAATACTTTAAGTTGCATGCCTTGTTGCTCTTCGTTTTAGTTTCATTTGAACTGTCCCTCTTGAAATTGCTCCTGCTTGATTGAATTCAAAGCCAAATCTTTAGTGCTAATACTGAACTGCTATGTAAACCTTGGGAATGTTCAAATCTGTATTTCATGTTGATCTGGCATAATAATTCACTTAGACTCTTCAAAAAACTTTTTGACGTGATTCATGTTTTGGATATTTCTTGGCCCATGTTTCGTTTGTCTCGCAATAAAGCACATATGAATTATAAGCGAGATGAATAAAATTAAAAAAAACAGCCATTGGCCATCTTCTTGTCCACTCTGACAGCTATACTGTATGTTCTAATACATTTGTCAATGAAATTCTTACAAAAGTTGCTTTTAGCCCTTGGTATAATTAAATTAATTAAAATATCTACAAATGTGAGGCAGATAATAATAAGGGCTTATTGCACTAATTATAATGGGCACAAATGCTCAGGAATCAAAGTAAAAACATTTAATAAAAACAAAAAAGAGGTGAACAATAAAAATGACTACATAAGTATTAAATGAAAAACCCAAAATGCATTTTGGACTATTTTCTAATAGAAAACCTCATCAGTTGGTATTAACTAAAGGTTTTAATATACTTAAAAATTATACAAAGTAAAGATAAACTTAAAACTATGTCTAAAGCTATAAAGATGAAAACATTGCTATGTCTAACAATATACAGATGAAAACATTGCTATAACTGTATGATCAGTAAGCATTATCAATGTAGACAAGTGTAATAAATCTTCATAATGTTCATGGTGGCGTGATGTAGAGTGCTGATACAAATCGGTTATAAGTTAGTATCCTTTAGCCAATTTGATCGGTATTTAATTATTTACTAGCCTTAAAATAGCCTGATGAATAAAGTCGTGCCAGAAAGCCACTCTCTTCTTGGTAATCCTGGCCATTTTTCTTTGATAGCTGCTTTCAAATTATCAAGTTGAGACAGTACTTCTCAATATTAATGGTCTGATTTTGAGATAATAGTTTTTAGTAGATAATTCCCTGCCAGTCTCACCATAAGCTTGGCATAACCTTTTCTTTTTTGGACCAACTTTTGACTGTGTTGCAGATAGGTTGATCACCTTTCTACACATTAATGTAAAAAATCCATTTTTCATCATAAGAAATTAGTTGCTTTAAAAAGGGGTCCATTTGATTACATTTCAGTAGCTTGCAATTTCCCCAGTGGCCTAATATGGGTTCTCTTATATTAATGTACTGATTTGACGAATAAACTGTTTGATCAATCTAGTATATAACCTCATTTTTATTTTTATTTTTTATAAATTATCATAGTTACAATTTAATAGTCTTTTCTGTTATATAATTATTAAAATAACTTGAAAAATTGCAAATTGTTAGTTAATGACTAAAAATAATTAATGAATTTCGTCCTAAATATGCAATATAATGCAAACAGGAGAAAATTTTATTCCCTAACAAGAAAAATTAGAAAGAAAAATTTGAAATACCATTTCTGTCTGATTCTGAACATCATAATCTCCAATAAAAGCATTTCCTTCCGAAGGAATCAGATCCCCGGTCAGCATTCTGAAGGTCGTTGTTTTTCCGGCACCGTTTATTCCGAGTAAACCGAAACATTCTTCCTTGTGCACGGAGAACGTCAAATTATTTACAGCACGGAAGGAACCAAAGTATTTAGTTAAGTTTTTCACTATCAAAGCTTCGTCGTTTCTTTCAGGTTGGTTAAAAATATTTTCTATTCTGTTCCGTTCTTGTGTGACGTCGCTGTCTTCATCAGGATAGATACTATTGTTTTTTACCATCCAAGATTTATTTTTTCGTCTGATCTTTGTCATGATTTTGTACCATAATTTGGGCAAGATTGTTTCGAACATAACTAAAAGTGTAAAATAAAGTAATCCGTCGAAAGATAAAAATGCAAGACCTCTTCCAGACGAAAATTCCCAAGATAGATAATTTTCTTTCTCAAAACATTCGTCTTGACAGATTTCTCCTGAAAGTATTGAAATATCATGTCATAAATTTGTGGATTAAATTAATTTTCATATTTTGTAACATCTATAGATATGAAAATTATCATTTAAATTTTTTATATACAAAAGTTGTTATTAAAACAACATTAAATATTACGTAATAAATTTATCATAATTATTCATAAATTCATTTTTTGATGAAAATTATTAAAGAATAAAACTGCTGAAACTGAAATTTTAGTAATTTCCATTATTCAATAAGTTTCTTCAAAGAAATTTTAATGAAAATTAATAATAGTATTTACAAAGACTTTCTTTTTCAACCTATGATGGTCCATAAAATGAAGACAAATGTAAATAACAAAATTAATTTATTACCAAAAGTTAGATACAAACGTGGTTACTTTTCGACATAATCACCACGAAGATTGGGACATTTGTCATGTCTGTGGATAAGCTTTTCCATCCCCTCTTCATAAAATGTTGCCACCAGTGAATTGAGATGGCCTTAACGATGTACTTTTGAAAATCATTATTAGTCTCAAACCTCTGCCCTCCTAGCCACGTTTTCAGTTCAGGAAAGAGGTGGAAGTCTTACATGTCTTTCCTGAACCGAACTGAACACACATTAAAAAGTTCCAAGCTGGGTGGAAGTCTTCACACCTTTAAACACCCAGCGTATAGCCCCGATTTAGTGCCAAGCAATTTCTGCCTCTTTCCTGAACTGAAAACGTGGCTAGGAGGGCAGAGGTTCAAGACTAATGACAATCTCCAAAACAATGTTAGGGCCCATCTTGAGTCATTGGTGGCAACATTTTATGAAGAGTGGATTTCAAAGCTCATTCACAGATATGACAAATGTCCCAATCTTCACGGTGATTACGTTAAAAAGTAACCATGTTTGTACCTAACTTTTAGTGATAAATTCATTTTGTTATTTACATTTGTCTTTGTTTTAAGGACCGTCGGAGGTTGAAAAGAAACAGCCCTCATATACAGGGTGTTTCACAGCCTCTCCACAAAGTTTTTTTTTTTTGAATAACTGTTTTTGAATTTTCAAAATTTTTAATGAAATTTACAGCAAAGATAGAAGATGGAAAAGGAAATTAATGCAAGATATTTTCAAAATGTCTGCCTTCTGTCAAGATGCAGTAGTGCAGTCTCTCTTGGAAATTAGCAATCACATTACTACAGGTTTGATCTGAGATGCCCTTCATGATGCTCTTGATGCTTTCTCTCATCTGACTGAGGGTGGTAAGGTTATTCCTGAACACCTGATCCTTTGTGTATTCCCCAAGGAAAGAAGTCTAGTGGATTCAAATCAGGGCTATAAGGTGGCTAGGCGAGGCCATATTTGAATGTCTTTGGATAGCTTTGAGCAATAATACGATCATAATGGGAATTAAGGAGCTCCAGGTTCTCATAAGTCACATGGAGTGGGGCTCCATCCTGCTGGAACCGCAATCATAAATCCAATTGAGTTCTTGAGCTCTTGGAATGAAAACATCAGAAATTAAATCATGATACTGTTCAGAGTTGACAGTTGATTCCGTAAAGTATGGCCATGCTGCCCAGACTGAGCATTTTAGGGTGCAAAGGTCTCACAACTGTGATTTCTGACTTTGGCTTCCCCAGAAGCAATAATTTTGCTGATTCACATGTCCATTCAGCCAAAAATGTGCCTCGTCACTGAAGATGATGATATTCAGATTGATGCTTTTGTCACTGATAAGTGAATCGAGCTGACAGGCAAACACATATCTCTTGGTCATAGCAGTTTTGGAAAGAGGCTGACCACACCTTATAAGGAAAAAATGTTCAAGTCTTTCTGTGCAATATGCCAAGCTGTAGACTTGCTTACTGACAACTGTTGGCCAAGTTGCTCTAATGAGGTTGAAGGGTGGTCTTCCAGAATGTTCTTTGTGGCCTGTACATTGTCTGGAGTTCTTGCTGTGAATTGTTTCGTCTTGAGAGCTTCTTTGTCATCAATCACTATTCCTTTTTCCGTGAATTTCTTCACCAAAGCCATGACTGTGTTTCTATCAGGAGTTGAAGAGTTTTTAAAGGTACTAGACCACTTCCGACAGAACAAAGTTGGGTTTTCTCCCGACTGGTACCAAAATTTTATCATACTCACATGATCTTTGATTGAATAGCAGGCGGGACATTTTGCCAAAAATTACAGAAAAATCAAATGTTTTGAAGCAACGTGCTTTTGTGATAGAAACAATTCCTTTTTACTCAAAGTGCCACCTACAAAGAATTGAGGCTGAAAACCACACGGTTAAAAAGTTATTCAAAGAAAACTTTGTGGAGAGGCTGTTTTTCACAGCATCTCCACAAAGTTTTCTTTGAATAACTTTAATATATATATATAGCTTACCATGCTACATTTTGTAAACTCAGCAGAGAACATATGTATTGTTCACTCTCTTTTCAACAATTGATGTTACAAAGAAGCAATTACTAGAAAAAAAATGTATAACCAGAGAATGCATATATTGTTTTTGATAAAAGCACAGGGTATGTGGCATATGCTTCCACATACCCTACACTGCAGCTTTGTATATATTGTTAACTCTTGGTAACTTAAAGCAGACGAGACAGAGAAAAAATTTTTGAGTTTTACAGAAATTCAATGTGATATTTACAATTTAGTTAGACTTTAAACACAGTGCATTGCTTTTCAGATACTGCACAAGTGCAAAATATACTATTAATAAAAGAAACCTGTTATGTAGGTTTGATACTGATGCCTCTTTGCTTCACATGTGTTATGACCCCAGAAAATCTCACAAAACTTTAATAACTTTGTAGTCGACATTGTGAGATCTCAGACAGGTCCAGTCACTAAATTTGCAAAAATTTAGTTGATTTAGAGAAAAATTATTTGTTTTAAATGACAAGAAAAGGAAATGTTTGTAGTCAGACACAATTTTGTTTATATTAGATTGTGATGCAGAGTCATAAATTTTAGATGGAATGTAGTCCTATGATTGACCATCTCCAGTTTGAGATCAAAGTCAGCTTCGAGTTGACCTCTTCTGTGCTCATAGTTGAGATCTTGTTATACTTAGTAATGAGGGACCAACCACTTGGAAAGTGCAAATGAGGGAAATCAACCAATTGGAATGGCTGATTGAAAGATGGAGATTAATATAATTCCCAGTTTTGAAGGACATAGTCACTCTTCAAAAACAGTGCACTTGCATTTAGTCAGTCAAGTGTCAACATGCTCAGAGGCAGTCTCTTCCCTTTTGTAATCTAAATATCTTCATTGTGTGTTGCCAATGGAACCATCCTTACCTGCTCTGTCTTCTAGTGCAAAGACCAGTGGCAAATTCATCACATCATCTCCCCTGCCCAGCAAACAACTCTTCTCACCTGCCCTAGATCTGTGATCGTTCAGAAGAAACACACCACAGGAAGACCAGACTTACAAATTCTCTCAACCTGTTGACTCTGGGAAGACAACTATGTTAGAAAATCTCTATCAGAACATGCAAGATATTTTCTATATAATAAATGGTTTTTGTAAAGGTACACGTGTTCTCTGCATCCAATGCCACCACCCACATATATGAAGCCCTTAGACCAGTGTTTTTCAACCTTTTTGAATACGCGACCCCTTTACAAGTTAAAAAATTCTGGCGACCCCCCTAGGGCCATATTAAAACTATATCAGTGATTTAAAAAGTTATGTATTTAATTTTCTTTGTGTTGAGAGAAATTACTGTTGATGACTAAAATGTGAGACCTGAAAGGCCCCTGGGTCTAAATTAATAATTTTATTAATTTTGTTAAATAATGTCACCAAATATTACTTCATTTTTGGTGAGAAAAATACTGTTTTAACGTGGGAAAAGGCAGATAACAGATGTTACTTCCTTTCACTGGAGTTAGAACATCCTCTGACTTTCCCTTATCTGGTTAAAATCCTGCTCAGATGGGAAATGTTTACCCCTCATTCATTCCCCTTTCATCCGTTCTCATGAAAGAGTTACTGGCCGATGATTGGTCGAAAATCAGCAGATATAGAGGGAATTTGTCAGGATTCGGCGAGTTCAGCGACAGATCTGGAAGCGTCCAAACTCCACATACATTTTCCTCCGGATGACCAACGTCCTTAGACAAGTCACATACAGAATAATTCCAGAGTTAGCACTTAGAAACCGTATTTGGATTTTGTGCACATATTGATCTCCCATACGAAGAAGTAAATGAACTTTATCTCCAAAGTGTCCCTTGCCTACAGAGAAGAAGGCGAACGACAACTAAAACAGGTCGTATGTTTTATAACGATTTTGTGAGCTCTCTCTCTCGATCGCGCTTTGGGTATAATATAAGTATAGCTATCTCTCGATTTGTATATTATTTGTAGTAGTTCTGTCTCTCGTTCATCCACATTTTTGTATGAGTTTATTTTCTTGTTTTATTAAATTTATTATTTCGTTTTTAATTAAAATGTCTCCTAATTGTGTGACCAAATCAGATCGCATATGCGTGTTTGTCCGCGGATCGATAAATTGACAAACTGGTGTCGTGACTCTGACATAGGAAGAAGGTGAATTCGCCCCCACCAACTTCCGCTCTAAATTATAATTTATCAGTAAAGCCCTCCACACTCGTTTCCCTACGTTTGGGAAAGGCCGTTCTTTGGACGACCGAGGACTGGTCTTACCAACTAGTGCCCGTAAGTGGCGTAAACTAAGATCTACATCCCTGGCTATCTCACACTAAAATGAGAATTTAAGGAGAATCGACAATAACTTAAGACACGTATAGTATGTTACTTCCTTCTTATAATAACAATGAGTTCGGGGTGCTGTTGACCTTTTTTTTTTTTTTTAGGATGAGGGTTTTTCACTTCTACTTCTCTACTTATTACTTCTTTTTACAAGTCAGCTCAACACTTTTTCAGCAATCATTTTCTGGGGTGGGCCATACCCACCCAGGCCCCTCCCAGGCAACACCCATCATTCGGATCTAAATGTCAATCAAAAAACCAACTGTACTGTAT